GAAAAAATGGAGAGAAGGAGGGAGAAACAGGAGGAGGATGAGGAGGAGCAGGAGGAGATATTGAGGAAGAGGAGGAGGAGCAGGAGGAGGAATAGGAGGAGCAGGAGGAGGAGGACGAGGACGAGGAGGAGAAGGAGGATAAATGATGGGAGGAGGAGGATGAGGAAGAGGAAGAGGACGAGAGGGAGGAGGAGAAAGTATGATGATGAGGAGGAGGAAGAGGAGGAGGGAAGAGGAGGAGGAGGAGGAAGAAGAGAAGCATGATAAGGGATACGAGGAGCAGGAGGTGGAGGAAGAGGAGGAGGAGGAGGAGGAGCCGGAGCAGGAGTAGGAGGTATTGAAGAGGATGAGGAGGGCGAGGAGCAGATGGAAGGAGGAGGATGGATGAACAGGGAGAGCAGGTGGAAGGATAATGACGACGAGGGAAGGAGAGAGGAGGAGCAGGAGGAGGAGGAGGAAAGAGGGAAGGAGGAGGGAGGAGGGAAGGGCACGGAAATGAAAGAGGAAGATGAAGAGGGTAAGGGTTGAAGAGAGGGATGAGCGGCAGCTTGTGCACGAGGAGGGAGCGTTGGTGGCTAGCCCTCAGCCTCACATTTGTTCGACCTCGAGGTGCATACCGATTGCTTTAGACTGGTTGTCATGCTTCTCCCGGATTTACGCTACGGTACAAACTTTGGACTGTGATTCGCCCGCCATGCCGACTACGCAGCATATCCGACCATGGTGGATATAAGGAACGATGAGGATGAAGGTGGGCATAGAAGTGGAAGGATGGCGAAAGGGACAGGAGGAGCGGGGCGAGAGGAGGGGGGGAGTTGGGGCAGAGGTGAGAATATGAAAAGTCGGAATGTACGGGATAAGAAGGACCCCGGAGGCCCCCAAACCTACGAGAGCCTCCAAAATGCAAGCAGCAACGCCCAAAACGGTGGACAACCAAAAACATGTGGGTTTCCTTCTTATTTGCGCTGGAACATCTGGGCCCCTCTCTGCCTCCTCCTCCTCCTCCTCCTCCTCCTCCTCCTCCTCCTCCTCCTGGTCCTCCTCCTGGTCCTCCTCCTCTCCGTCGCCATTTTGGCTCAAACGACTGCACGGCTCGGCGCTTCCCTCTCGCGGCGAGCGCGAGCCTAGAGGGGCTCCGATGGACAATAGAACCATCGTCGAGGCGGCGGTGCGCGGCACTGTGGCAGCCAAGGCACCTCGGCGCACGGCCGCGGCCGTGGCGCGTTCGGCAGTCAGCGCCGCGCTCTTCGCGCTGTGCGACCGCCCTGCGCCGCCTGCTGCTGATCGACAACGGCGTCCCTGCTGCTTCCGCGCGCGCGCGCCCGAGTCTCCGCGGAGGGGGCAGCGCGAGCGGCGCCGCCGACGCCGCCGGAGCCCGGCGGGGGAGACAGCGCTGGAGAAAGGCGAGGCGGCTGCTGCTGCTAGGGCTCCCAACTTCGCGCTTCGCGCTGCGCGAAGCGCGAAGCGCGAATAACTTCGCGCTCTCGCGCCGCCCTCCCAAAGGGAGAATAGGAGGACGAGGAGGAGGGGGAGAAGGAACGAGGACCGCGAAGCGCGAAGCGCGAATAACTTCGCGCCCTCGAGGGAGCCCTTGCTGCTGCCGCTGCTGCCTGCAACTCTGCAGAGGATGATCCACCATGAAAACCATATCGCAGAGAATGCCTCTCAGTGCGCCGCGTGCTCCGCGTGCTCTCGCCGGGCGTCGGCAGCTGTCTCGGCGACTCGCCGCTGTCGCGCCTACGGCGCCCGCGGCTGCCGACCACGCCGCGGGCCTCGACGACGACCCGTGGGCCGACGCGGCCGCGGTGCCTCGGCGAAGGGCGGCGCCGCGCTCCCGGGCGTGCTGCATTGGCACCTGCAGCGGCTGGAGCTGCTGGTGCGGGCCCTGCCCTCCCGCCTGCGGTGGCCGCGCCGGTGGCAGCCCCTGGCGGAGGACGAGCGCGCGGCCGCGCTCGCGCAGGCCGTCGCGCTGTCGTCCCGACCCTGACCGCGACTCCGTCTTCTCTGGCCTCGCGCTGGATGAGCTGACAGAGGTCCTCGGGGTGCTGCGCAGGTCGTGAGGCTTGCCTGGCTCCCTCGGGCCCCACTGCCGCCTCGTGGTTGGGCCGCTGCTTACGTGCCGCAGGTGCGCAGTGGGTGATCCCCTGGGTGGCCCTGCCCCGCCCGCTGGCACCACGTGTGAGACTCTGCTTACATGCTCAACTGGTGTGCTGGCAAGCGGGGCCCTCCTTGTTCAGCATGCGCCGCTGCGCTGGCAGTAGGCCCCATGCCGTCTCCTGCACTGACCCCCAGCTCCTGCACCCGCGGTTGCTGGGGGTGCGACGGCCTGCGCCTCCTCCTCCTCCTCCTCCTCCTCCTCCACCTCCCCTCGTCCTGCTGGTCGTCGTTGTCATCGTCATCGTCATCGTCATCGACGTTGTCGCCATCATCATCATCATCATCATCATCATCATCATCATCATCATCATCATCATCATCATCATCATCATCATCATCATCATCATCATCATCATCATCATAATAAGCATCATCAGCATCATCATCATCATCATCATCATCATCATCATCATCATCATCGCCATCATCATATTCATCATCATCACCACCATCATCATCAGCATCATCATAATAATAATCATCACCACCACCATCATCATCATCGTCGTCGTCATCATCGTCATCATCGTCGTCGTCATCATCATCGTCATCATCATCACCATGACCACCACCACCAGCATCATCATCATCATCATCAGAATCATCATATTCATCATCATCAGCATCATCATCATCACCATCATCACCATCATCATCATGATCAGCATCATCAGCATCATCAGCATCATCATCACCATCACCATCATCATCAGCATCATCATTCTCCATATCCTCATCCACATCATCATCACATCACCATCAGCATCAACATCATCATCACCATCACCATCACCATCATCATCATCGTCACCATCATCATCGTCGTCATCATCACCATCACCATCAGCATCAGCATCATCACCATCATCATCACCATCATCATCATCATCAGCATCATCGTCACCATCATCATCAGCACCACCATCACTATCATCATCATCACCAGCATCATTATCAGCATCATCATCATCATCATCTCATCCTCCTCATCATCATCACCATCATCACCATCAGCATTATCATCATCATCATCGCCATCATCATCATCAGCATCACATCATCATCATCATCATCATCATCATCATCATCATCATCATCATCATCATCATCATCATCATCATCATTATCGTCATCAGCATCATCATCATTATCTCCTCCTCCTCCTCATCATCATTATCATCATCATCATCAACATCAGCATCATCATCGTCGTCATCAGCATCACATCATCATCACCACCATCACCATCACCATCACCATTATCATCATCATCAGCCTCAGGATCAGCATCACCATCATCATCATCATCAGCATCGGCATCGTGATCATCATCGTCGTCATCATCGTCATCGTCATCGTCATCGACGTCGTCATCGTCATCAGCATCATCATCATCGTCATCATCCTCACCATTCTCATCATCCTCATCATCCTCGTCATCACATCAGCAGCAGCATCAGCATTAGCATCATCACTCTCCTCATCATCATGATCAACAACACCATCACTATCATCACCATCTCACCATGATCACCGCCATCATCATCATCATCATCATCATCATCATCATCATCATCATCATCATCATCATCATCTTCATCTTCATCTTCATCAACATCTTCATCATCACCGTCATCACCAACACCAACATCGTTATCATCATCAGCAACATCATCATGGTTATTTTCATCATCACCATCGCCACCGCCACCATCACCATCATCATCATCATCATCATCATCATCATCAGCGCCACCCCTTTCCTCCTCCTCCCGAATCTTCCAGGACACACTGCAGCTCCGTGAAACGACTTCGAACATTCTCCAACATTTCAAAAAGAAGCCCCTCCCCCCCTCGTTCTCTACTCTGCTCCCCCACCCCCTCCCCTGGTCCCCCGCTACTGGCACACATAGCAGCAAGGATGACGGGCAAGGCTGCAGATCGCTCGGACGTCCACGCCGAAACAATGGCAGCGGAGTCAGGCCCGCATCCGCTCTTTCGGAGAAGCAGTGGAGGACCGCGTCAGAACATGCTCGGAGAACCCGCCCCGAACCCAAATCCCGGGGGGCAAATGGATAAGCGCTCGATTTCGGCTCTAAACAGCCGCTGGGCGCTGAACGGTCGCTGGGCAGATGTGGGGGCTCGGATCCTGAGGGCACTACGATATAGTAAATCCACACGGAAAAGATGCAAGACCATCAGGCGCCCGCGTTGAAACGATTGCGGCGGCGCCGCGCAGAAACGCCCGAGACCACAAGGCTCAGGATGGGACGAAGATGAAATGATGCAAGGGAAGCCTTGACGAAGCAATGCGTCCTTCTCTCGTCCCTCCTCCTCCTGCTCCTGCTCCTGCTCCTGCTCCTCCTCCTCCTCCTCCTCCTCCTCCTCCTCCTCCTACTCCTCCTCCTCCTCCTCCTCCTCCTCCTCCGCAACATCCACCCCAAGACTCTCCTGAGACGTATTCGAAACAAGATCCCGAGACGGATCCGGCTGTGGTGACGGGGGCCCTCTGGACAACGTCAGAAATCGTCGTCGTCCTCCTCTTCCTCCGCTTCCACCCTTTTCCTCCTCCTCCGCCTCCTCCTCCTCCTCCTCCTCCTGCCCTCTCCAGCTCCTCCTCCTCTTCCTCCTCCTCCTCCTCCTCCTCCTCCTCCTCCGCCTCTTCTCTCCAGCTCCTCCTCCTCTTCTCTCCACCTTCTCCTCCTCCTCCTCCTCCTCCTCCTCCTCCTCCTCCTCCTCCTCCAGAGGAGGGCGAGGAGGCGAGGAGGTGGCGCACCCCGACCCGGGGCGCGCCTCGGGCGGGTCAGCACCACCCCGACGCAGTAGTGGGTCTCTGGCTCCTGGCGTCGGGGCGCGGGCGCTCGCCCGGGGCGGCGCCGCCGCCGCGAGGGCGAGGGAGGAGATGGGGGCGAGGGAGGAGGTGGGGGAGGAGGGGGAGGAGCAGGGGGAGGAGGAGGGGGAGGAGGAGGGGGAGGAGGAGGGGGACGAGGAGGAGGGGGACGAGGAGGGGGACGAGGAGGAGGAGGACGGGGAGGAGTGGAGGAGGAGCAGGCGGCGGAGGAGGAGTGTGAGAGTGGGAGGACGTTTGTTCGTTGATGCTCTTAATCTGGGAAGCAAGCAGTACCCCCCCCCCGCGACGATATCGCTAACACCAACAAAAAAACGCCACCGCGGCCTGAGGCACGAGTCGGAATGTCCTCAGCCTTCAGCAGGTCCCTTCGAGATTTCTGCATCGAGTTCTATGTAAATATAAGGGGCCCACAACCCGGAGTCCCGGGCGCTCCCAGGCGCTCCCGGGGGGGCCTCGCGTGACCCTTCGAGAGGCGAAGAGCGCGTCGCTCGGGACATGCATGTCCAACATGGTTTCAGATGGCCCTGGGGACCGTCCCAGGGCCCTTTTGGGCGCCTCTTGAGCCATCTTGGAGGGCCCGGAGGGCGCCTCTTGAGTCGTCTTGGAGGGCCTGGAGGGCGGCCCAAGAGGCCCAAATCGTCAACATCCATTTGTTCTTGTATGCTTTTCGCCTCACCGCCTCTTCGGTTTTCAGAGCGTCCAACAAGGCCCAAGAAGCGCCCAAGATGCGCCCAATATCGGCCCAACACGACCCAAGAACCCTCAAGAGGGGCCCAAGAGGCCCCCGAGATGGCCCCAAGATTGGAGAGAGCGTGATCCCCCGCCGCTTTACTGCGGAAAATTCCCCTCCTCTTCCTCCGGAACCCGGGGACCCCCCCCCTCCGAAAATCCCCCCCCTCCCTGCTGGACCCACCCACCCCTCCCCCGGGAAAAACTCCCCCCCTCCCTCAAACCCCCCCCCCTTCCCCTCGAAAACCGGGGGGGGTCACTACCGGTTCGAACCCCTCCCCCCCCCGACTCTGGATCCGCCCTACTTTGGGGAAATTCGTAAGTAGGGCTTGGAATTTCCGCCTTACTTTTCAAGCCCCGCTGATGCCAATTTCCGCCCTACTTTTCTGTTGCTGTTTCCGTGGATTTCCGCCCTATTTTATGTTGGGTGCAGCAATTTCCGCCCTACTTTTTCGGCCTCGTATAGGTGGATTTCCGACGCAACTTCAAGTTGGAAAAAAAGCCAAAGTAGGGCGGATGCGGAGTCAGAGCCCCCCCCCTTCGAAAACCAGAGGGAGGTCACTGCCGGCTCGCCTCCCGCCCCCCTCGACACCCATCCTCAGACCTCTCGCCGAACGAACGCGACGCGTCCCGGCGAGGACTTCTGGCCGGAGGGCGGCTGGCGGTGTTCGCCCCCGAGCCGCGCCCAGTCGCTCAACACAGATCTCCAACAACTGCACAGATGCAGGGCGGGCCGTTTCCAAAATCCGTCGACCCCCGCATGCCGGGGGTTGACAAGGCGCGCGAAGCAACTGGCTGTCCCCAATACCCAATCTCCTCCTCCTGGGGTCCAAAACAACATTTGAGAGAGGATGGGGGCGGGGCAGGGAACTCACCGGCGCTCCTCCCAGGCCCTCGGAAAGGCAAGAGGGCACCAAGACGGGCCAAGACAACTCCAGGAGGCTCCCAAGACGCTCCAGGATGGCTCCAAGAGGCCCCCCAAGAGGCCCCCAAGAAGCTCAGATCCTTGATTTTCCGAAGTTGTTTGAAAGATTTGGGCGCTCTCGCCTTTTCGGGCTTTCGATGCTCCAAGACGGCCAAGAGGCCCCTAAGATCGCCCCAAGAGGCCCCCTAGAAACCCAAGACGGCTTACGAGGGCCCCAAGACGGCCCAAGAGGCCTTCAAGACGGCCCCAAGACGACAGCACATAATTGAAACGAGCTGATGTCACTGTGGAAGCGGCAGCAGCAAACTCTGGGAGCCACCGTGGGGAAGGCAGGCAGCCATCGAGGGCAAGATAGAGAACGCGACATTGCAGAGAAGAATGCCGCACATGATCGAAACGATGTAAACCACAGCAGCAGCGGCGGCGACAGCAAACTCTAGAATGTGGCGGCATTGCAGGTACGGAGTGGACTGGGAAAGCTAGAGCAGAAAACAGCCCTGCAGCACACCACACATTAAGACACATGAGCTGATATACACACAATGATAATGACAATCGGTAAAGAGAATGCCCCGTGCTGGCATCCGACAACCAATCGTGAATGCTTAGTTGCACACTCAGCGTGCCAAGTTGGACTGTCCTCCTTGGGCCTGTCTGGTTTGTTGGAAAACTTCAGCTCGAGCGTGTTCGAGCCTGGGGTGTACAAGGATAAGGGGTCCAGCAGGAGGGAGGAGCCGGATGGAGCACGACAAGTTCCACAGGGATGCACCAGGGGAGGAAGGAGGAGAGGAGCAGAGGCAGGCATATGAGGAAGAGTGCGTGGGAGGGGGCTGAGACACGGCGTGGGAGGACGAAGAAGTGGGGAGGAGGAGGAGGAGCAGCAGCAAGATGAGGAAGGGTGCGTGGGCCAGTGGTGGGCATCGGATCCGAAATGGTGATGATGTTGAGCTCCCACGTCTGAAGAACCATTACGGTTGATTCCCCCTCCACCGGTGCCAATTGTTTCTCAATGGAAGTGCCCCTCCGGGGCTCGAATTTATGCGGGGGGATGTTCCTGCTCATTGTTGGCCCCAGGCTACCACAACAACGGCTTCTGCTGGATACTTCCTCAATTTGTTCAGGAATCGCGCTTTCGCGTGAGCTTCCTTGCAAATCCGCCGACCCTTCAGCGTGTGGAGGAGGCTGTCCCAAGGAAATAGAGGAACAATGAAAAGGAACGTCGTAGTTAAGTCGGAGCGAAAACCCTTCCCTTATCCCTTGCCTGCGGGGGGGGTAGGGAGGGGGTGGTCTCGTGCCAGAATATCGTCCTCCCGGGGTCCTGGCGGGTCCTGGGGGGGGAGCCAGCGGGGGTTCCGGGGGAGGTCCCGCCTTCAGGGTCGGCGGCACCGGCCGTAAGTCCTTCGCAATAATTTATCGCGCTTTGTTGGAACCTTCGCAATTCATCCAAGCGCCGCGCTCTTGACGCCCAGGAATCACGCTCTTGCACAAGACTTACTTATATGTGGTTTTCACGAAGGGCTCCGCTTCAATGCCCCGATGGCCCGCCCGATCCGCGCACTAGGGTCCGCCCGCTCGACCTGCCCGTCAGGGTCCGCCCGCTGGCTGGTTTGGAAGCCCGCCCGCCCGCTTCGATTGCCCGCCCGACCCGCCGGCTTAAAACCGCCCGCCCGCCCCGCCCGCTAGGGTCAGCCCCCGCCCGACCTGCCCGCCGGTGTCCGCCCAGCCGCTTGCGTGAAGTCCGCCCGCCACTTGAGATGGGCCGCCCGCCCGGCCTGCCAGTGAAGATGGCCCGCCCGCCAGTGTCCAGGCTCCGCTCCCCCCCCCCCTCCTGCTGAAGTTTGTCGTCCTCGATGCCCCTCCCTTCGTCGTGCACCCCCTGCCTTTTCGTGCCCTCCTCCCTTCCTGGCCCCCCCTCTGTTTCTCATCTCGCTCCTCTCTTCCTACGTTAGCACCCCGCAGTCGCGGATAAGAGTGAGGGGGCGGCGGAGACGTCTGCAGTCTGCGACGCTCTGAAGAAGCCCGCCGCAGGAGAACAAATCTGACACATTATACATTGAGCGAGCCCGCCGCAGGCGCCGATTTTTCGTTAAAGCAATGTAGATGGGTCGCGGGGTGGGTCGCAAATAGGTCGCGGGTGGGTCGCGGGTGGGTCGCGGGTGGGTCGCAGGTGGGTCGCGGGTGCGTCGCGGGCCGGGTCGGGGGTTGGTCACGGGTGGATCGCGGGTAGGTCGCGGGCGGGTCGCGGGGTGGGACGCGGGTGGGTCGCGGGTGGGTCGCGGGCCGGGTCGCGGGGTGGACGACGCCAGACGACAGCAATAAAAACAAAAACCAACCAACCAACCAACAAACAAACAAACACCAAACAAACAAAACAGCAACAACAATACAAAAACAGCAGCAATAACATCAACCACAACAACAACCACCACCACCACCACCACCACCACCACCACCACCACCACAACAACAACAACAACAACAACAACAATTACTAGCACGTGGGGACACTCCGTTCTCACCAGTGCCAGGGTTTTCATAGGAGGCGGGCAATACCCCCACTTTGTGGGGGGGCCGGTTCAAGCTCTACCAAATTTCCAAACGACTCTTCGCCACCACCCACACCCAGCTTCCCGCCCTATGACGTTCGGACACTTCACTTCGTGGCATGCGGACGACCGTGGCTACTATTCAGGGCCCCGCGGCCGACGACGACGGCGTGCGCGCGCGAAGAAAAAACGAATGTGTCCCGCATGGTATTATTTGACAGGGATGATGGCCCTGGCAGGTGCGCAACCGTTGTTGCAGAAGTTCGAAAAAGTTGCTCGCAAAAGCCCGTTTGACAGAAATGTTTAAAAAGTGTTGGGTTTCCTACGAATCCGCAAGAGCGCGCGGGATGAAATTTTGACATTTTTTTTTTGAAAAACCATTGGTTTTTTGATGTTTTTATGTTAAAATCGCTACGAAACTAAGGTTTTGGAAGGATTTCGTCTTGCGCGCGCGAATGTCCACTTTACCTTATTTTTTGCAAGGGATTCTTGAAGTTTGGTTATGTTAGAACAAGAAATGTCCACTTTAGCTTATTTTTTGCAAGGGAAAACCGATCGTAACAACACAACCGGATCCGGACCCCCCGTTTTGCCTGAGACTTCCTCACGAAAATGATGAAAATGTGGCTGCGGCCTAGGCGCGGCGGGGGGGTCGTGCACCAGGGGTCCCAACAATAATTATTCTTTAGAAGTAATAATGTTCAACAACAACAACAACAACTACAACAACAACTACAACAGCGACAGCAACAGCAACAGCAACATCAACATCAACATCCGCAGCAACAACAACAACAACAGCAACAACATCAACATCAGCAACAACAACAACAACACCAACAACAACAACAACCACAACAACAGCAGCAACAGCAACAAGGTACGACCACTACCTGGAGGCCCCATTCTACCTTGAAGGTCCTACTCTCTTGTGCGACCCCTAGCTGGATGCCCCATGGGTGGGGGAGCCGGGAAACGGGAAACGGAACCCCCTTCGGGATTCAATTACTAGGACCATGGGATCCAGCACGACCCTTGCACCTCCCCACTGGACCCAACCACGCAAACGCAAGGGAGCACCAGCGAGGCTCCAGAATCCATACAAAACCCTTGCGGATCCTTCAAAATCCCTGAGGAACCTTAGGGACTCCTCAGGGAACCCCGACACATCCTTAGGGAACCCTAGAAAATCCTTAGGGAACCCTAGGGAATCCTCAAGGAACCCTTGGGAATCCTGCAATCCTCAAGGAACCCTACCGAAGCCTCACGGAACCCTAGGGAATCCTCAAGGAACCAGACCGAATCCTTAGGGAACCCTAGGGGGTCCTTAGGGAACCCGAGGGAATCCTTAGGCAATCCTGAGGAGTCCTTCGGCAACCCTAGGGAATCCTTAGGGAGCCCTAGGGAATCCTCAGGGAATCCTTAGGCAATCCTAAGGTATGGAATCCTTAGGGAACCCGAATGAATCCTGAAGGGGCCATGCTGGTTCCTTCGGGAACCATCGTGAATCCTTAGGGGGCCCGTGGGATTCCTTAGACAACGCTGGTGAATCCTTAGAGGATCCTAATGCATCCTGAAGGAACCCTGATGGATCCTGAGGGAACCCTGATGGATCCTCAGGGAACCTTAGTGAATCCTTAGAGGACCCTAGAGATCCCTTGGGCAACCCTAATGCTTAGAGGACCCTGATGAGTCCTTCGAGGACCCTGGGGACCCTAGGGAATCCTGATGGGATTCTAATAATAGCAGTAGTAACAGTAGTAGTAATACTAATACTAATACTAATACTCGTAGTAGTAGTAGTAGTAGTAGTAGTAGTAGTAGCAGCAGTAGCAGCAGCAGCAGCAGTAGCAGTAGTAGTAGTAGTAGTCGTAGTAGTAGTAGTAGTAGTTGTAATCGCCGTAGTCGTAGTCGTAGCAGTAATAGTAGTAATAGTAATCGTAGTCGCCGTAGTAATAGTTGTAGTAGTAGTAGTAGTAGTCGTCGTAGTAGTCGTAGTATTAGTAGTAGCAGTAGTAGTAGTAGTAGTAGCAGTAGTAGTAGTAGTAGTAGTAGTAGTAGTAGTGATAGTGATAGTAGTAGTAGTAATAATAGTAGTAGTAGTAGTAGTAGTAGTAGTAGTAGTCGAGGTCGTAGCAGAAGGTGTAATAGTAGTAGTAGTAGTAGTAGTAGTGGTAGTAGTAGTAGTAGTAGTATTAGTAGTAGTAGTAGTAGTAGTAGTAGTAGTAGTAGTAGTAGTAGTAGTAGTGGTGGTGGTAGTGGCGGTGGTAGAGGTAGTGGTGGTGTTGGTATCGGAATTACTGGTCGGAATAATAGTAGTGGTAGCATGGGTGGTAGTAGTAGTAATAAAAGCAGTAGCAGCAGCAGCACCCGTAGTCGCACTAGCGGTAGCAGTGGTAGCAGTAGTAGTGTTAGCAGTGGTAGTAGCATTAGTAACCCTATGAGTGGCAGTAGTCGTAGTAATAGTAGTAGTAGTAGTAGTAGTAAGTAGTAGTAGTAGTAGTAGTAGTAGTAGTAGTAGTAGTGGTAGTAGTAGTAGTAGTAGTAGTAGTAGTAGTAGTAGTAGTAGTAGTAGTAGTAGTAGTAGTAGTAGTAGTAGTAGTAGTAATCGTAATAGTAGTCGCAATGGTAGTAGTCGTTGTAACAAGAGTAGTAAACGTAGTGGTGGTAATAGTAACATGAATAGTTGGTGGAGTTGCTGTGAATGGAGGTAGTAGTCGTAGTAGTGGTAGTAGTAGTGGCAATAGTAGTAGTAGTGGTAGAAGTAGTAGTAGTAGTAGTAGTAGTAGTAGTAGTAGTAGTAGATGTTGATGTTGTTGTGGTAGTCGTACTAGTAGTAGTAGTAGTAGTAGTAGTAGTAGTAGTAGTAGTAGTAGTAGTTGTAGTTGTAGTAGTGGTAGTAGTAGTAGTAGTAGTAGTAGGAGTAGTAGTAGTAGTAATAGTAGTAGTAGTAGTCGTAGTAGTAGTGGTAGTAATAATAGTAGTCGTGGCCCTGGCCCCACAGGGAGCTCCACCGAAGCTTCATTTCGGCACACCCCTCTCGAGGATCGTGGCCCTTGCCCCCACAAGGAGCTCTTCCGAACCCTCATTTCGGCACACCCCTCTCGAGGATCGTGGCCCTGGCCCCACAGGGAGCTCCACCGAGGC